ACCTCACCCTGCCCCCTACCAAGTTAATCTTATAAGTGGGCCTGGGTATCACCTCCTTCAGGAAGCCTTCTCTGATTTTCCTAAACTGGGTTAGGGGTTCTCTTCTGTATTCCTGCACAGCATTGAATAGAGGTTACCCTAAATTGTGACCTCTTTGGGAACAGAGAATACATCTTCATCTGTGTTTCTGGAAGGGCAAAGTGTCAGATACAGGCTCAACAGTCATTAAATATTCTTAAATAATTACATGCATAAATGAATTTGAGATACACGAATTCATACTTATGGAGCACCTAGAGTGTATCATGCATTGTTCTCTACGCTGGAATACAGACGTGACCGAAAGAGACCAAAAAAAATCTCTGCCCTCAAACCAGGACTCAAATCATGCCCTCAAAGGGACATGAGGGAACTGCTGGGCGACAGCTATGTTCTGCACTGTACTGGGGTACGGGCGGTATGGGTGTGTGCCCTTGCCACAGTCATGTAAGCCAAGGCTTGTGCATTTCAATATGCAAATTTTGACTCACAAAAGAGCAAGTTTTAAAAAAATAATCAAGTGGGCCTGAGGGGTAAAAATGAAATGAGAATGACAGAATGCTGGGTAAGAAGCACAGGAAGCTTGGTATATGTTGCCCTTTATAGATGTTTGAAATTTTCTAAGATAAAAGCTAAAAATAGCTTTGCACTCATGTGAATAAATATTAACGGATATTACTAACAAGCTAATACCAGCTAATTAATATAAATCAATATCAACAAATTAATATTAATAAATTTAACAAAATTACATTAACAAATTAAGATTACTTGATATTCACTAGTTGATATCATTAATATCTGCTCATTGATATTTATCAATATTAACAAATTGATAACAGACCCCCTTGGAGTTTTTGAACTAGAAACAAAAGGGAAGGAAAAAAGAAATGAACAGTTTATAGATCACATACGATGATATACCAGGTACTTTATAACAGTTTCCTCATTAATCCTCGTAACTGCTTTGAGATATTTTTAGCCCCACTGATACATGGGGAAATTGAGGCTTAGGAAGGTCACACAACTTGCCAGAGAGTAAAACAGCCAGGATTTGAGCACGAGTCTGTTGGACACCCAGCCACTCCCCGGCAGTGGCTCCCACCCACACCATGGACCACTACCATAGGCTCAGAGGCTAGGATTCCAGCTTGCGCCAGGGTGGCGCTGGTGCCACATCTCACAGTGATGCTAGGCAATATTTTCATTTACATTCCCGGTCCTTAGAGACCTGGGTCGGTCTCCGCCTGGACTCCCGTTTCCCGGCGCCCACGCACACAGATGTGAGAGAGGTCTGATACGGAGTCCACGACAGGCTTCGGCTGACGTGGTAAACAGGGTCCTGCTCCGAGTGGGACCCCTCCGTGAGGGCCGCGCCGTACCAACAATCACGTAAACCTGGGCAGAGTCAAGCTCAAAGATGCTGAGGACGCAGATACGGCCAGCAGTAAGAGGCCACCTTGTGTGTGTCCCTTTCCTGGCCATGGTGTCCCTTTGACAGATGTCAGACTTAGCATCACTAGAGATGGGCCCATTATGGACTTGAAAAGCTGCTGTCATTTCCAAATGCAGCTTCTCCCAGCCAGAAACACACACGAAGCTCAGGCATGCGCCAAATATGTGGAAATATGGGCAACTTCCCTGCTGTTCACAAGCACTAATGACCTAATCCCCAGCAGAGGCCAAGGCTGCGGTCCAAACACACCGTTCCTTTAGGGCCCATTTGGTACTAAATAAAAACTCTCACCATAGTTCTCAATTTAAATCATAATTCCTGTTTATACTGTTGAATTTTCACCCATCTGTGCTCTGTTGCCTTCATCTAAACTAACCAGCCCCAAAAACCCTTTATCAAGTTAAGTGTTTGATTCCAGTCGGGAGCCGGGTGCCGAGGTACTGGAAAAGTAGCTGGCTATCCAGTCCAGAACGTTAATCACTAACATAATTATCAAAACCTTTAATTTTTCAGGGTTAAGTCAAGTATCTCTGTGGGCAGGCTGTCATTTTGGTTGGTTTGTTCTCTAGTTGACATGTAATTAGCTCTTAAGGACAATGCATTTTTGGATTTTTTAAAAGCCAAAACACAAATATTTGAGTATCTATTTTGTCTACAGAATAGTCTTTTGATCTCTAAAAAAACAAAGTCTTAAAACCAATTTAACCCACCACCCCAAACTCTCTGTACTCGACGCTGCCTCGAAACGACTTTTTATACAGCAGATAAAACAAACTTCATGCTACTTTTTTCCCTGTAAGATGTTTTAGGCTCCTAATGTTGTTTGCTCTTAGTGCTTTTGGTGGACTATTTCTTCTCCGAGAACTCTCACGTTCAGCCTTGATGGGGCTGCTTATGTGCACAGAAAGGAATTAAGCTGTAGGTCCCCAGACCTGAAGCTACTCTAACACCCAAAGAGGGAAGAAGTTTGTCTACTTTTCCAAAGGCAAGGTTCAAAGTCAAGAAATACAGAGATTATCTGAGGCAATCAAAGAAAAGCCTTATGGGCTGAAAGCTACAGCTTTTTCGGAAAATTTAGTTCCTATCAGGACTCAATCTGTGGTGAGATCACTGCCCTGGGGCCGGGGGTGGATGGGGAACAACTTTACGCAAGTCGCCAGTGTTGCCAGTGTTGCCAGTGTTGTGTTCGATGACCTTAAAACCGATGACCTTAAAACCGTCTCATCTAGCCCCCGGGTCATGTGAATGACGTGTGAAACACAGGGCACCCACCTGGCCTTTTCCAGTTAGAGACCTTCCCTTTACCACTGCAACTGCCTCAATTTCATAGAAAAAGAACCTGAATGTATCGATTGGGGATCTTATTTCCCCACTAACCACTGTTTACAGGATGAACAGAGTTTCCAGCCTGGCTCGAATTAGCTCGCATCAATTTTACCCACCACCATGTTACCATATTCTAGCACCTTTGATGAGAACTAATTAAGCTCATGCGGTGTTTTTCCTCCCCAGACTGCTCTTTGCAGCTCTGGAACAGAGCACACCAAATTAGGCCCATCTGTCTAAATGGGAAGAAGTTACTTATCCTCATGCCAGGCAGCCTTCCTTTCCTACCTAGAAGCGGCCTTCTGAGGCTCCCAAACACCACGGGATGATGATGGCAACCCTAATTCTTAACCAGCTAGAATTCTGGGGAGAGCAGTTGAGTGTGGTATCAAGGATTACCTAGCAATTTGTGGCAAACATTTCCTTGCACGGTGAAATGTCCAAGGAGGCCACAAAGCAGGCTACCAGACTATCACACGAAGTCAAACTTGTAACATTCGAGAAGCCAGTGCAATATTTAACTGGTTCTGCAGCAATCTTGCCAAAAGGAAAGTCTTTTTTCGTTAACTCTGCCACCATCAGGAGAGCCTAATTAATTTTAACGAAGCAGAGGAGCCTTTTTGCCACATAACGGAAAGAAATAAAATAACCCCACGCTTCTCACAAGCCAGGAGACAGAGTTATAAAAAAGAGGCCTTGGCAACAAAGACACCCACGTGTCTGCCTGGACCATGGTGTCAGGCTCCCAGCGGCCCCCAACTGGTGCTTCTCAAGCTTCAATTGACTCTATTATACTAACTCCCACCCCCGCACACTGCTGAGTCAGTGAGCAAAAATCTAAGAGAATCAATAATTATTTGACAGTCATGATATAATATTACTCCTGACCTAAGTTAAGAAAAGAAATATAAGTGTATAAGAAGGCTAACGTCCTACTCAGGTGGAAGTGGACCACATCTACTGATAGAATATACAGCAGCAGAACCTAAACCACTTGCTGGGTCCCTTTAATAGGTCCTTTACGACATAAGATGAATTATTAATAAAAGAATTACCCATTCCTAGTTACTTACTGTTTTTTCATTCCTACCCTAAGTAGATTGACAGAAAAAGAATTTTTTTAAAGGATTCAATTGAATCAGCAGTTTTCAAACTTTTATTTAAAAAAGATTCACATTTCAAAGATCTATTTTAAAACAGATCTACAAGGTCCCCCGATATATTTAAAAAATGGTCAAAAAGGAGATGGTCTTAAGGTGACCACAGTAGAACAACACAATGTGCAAAGCACAGAACCAAATGAACTCAAGTGTGATATATGGAGCAGATTTCAATTAGTAATGTGTAAGTTTCAGTAAGATGCTTTATAATAAATGCACAACATGAAAATACTAGCACACATATAGATTATCCAGAGACCCCCTAAACTATTCAGTTACTATTTATCAGATGCAAAATTCAAATGCTCCACTATTCACATACGTAAAAATCCTTACAAACAAGCCAAATGGATTTCAATACACCTGAGTGAGAGAGGAGAATGTTGTCATGAAAAATGGTGCTTACAAAGAGGTCTTAATGACGTGAAAGAACTATAATAAAATGTTAAGGAAAAAGCAAGAGTTATATTGCTGATATTAAAATGCCCAGAAAACCACTGAGCAGAGATCTGCTGTATAACACCAAGGTGGTTATGGCTAGGTGGGAGATTAGGGTGGTCTCTTGTTTCTTTAAATCTTATTTTGTTTCTAGAATAAGGAGGAAAAGAAGAAGAGGAGGGAAAAGGAGAGAGGAAGGAACAGAGGGAGGAAGAGAAAGGAGAGAAGAACTAACCTACACATCCTTTGGGCTTAAAAAGTCAAGAAAAAGACAGTACTGCATATAGTGGCCAGCAATAAAAACATCTTTTTCCCTGAAGTTAAAGAAAAAGAAAATCCAGTCTTTCAATGAATACAAAGTTTTCATCCTATTGCCCCAGCCAATATTCATTCAGTCTGATGTCTGCCGAACTGGGTGAAAGGGATCTGAAGTTTTTACCCCAAACTAGCTCAGTGGCCTGCAGTTAGATGCTCCGAGCAGAGAGAAGACCATGAGGAGGCCCACAGAGGGGGAGCTGGACCCAGAGCAGGGCCAGGAGCCACCAGCCGGGCAGCGGCACAGCCCAGTGCCACACACTCACCACATCCAGGTCCTGCGAAACCCGCCGTTTCCGCAGCTCCTCCATCCTCTCGCACACGTCGGAGAAATAGGTATTGTAATAATCTGCATATTGCTGCGCCAGGTCATCAATGTTGCCCAGGGAGCCGTCCTGAGGGTGAGGAGGGTGGGAGGAAGAAACAGGGAAAGAACAAAGGCGGTCAGTCCACTTGCAAACACCTCACATCGTGTTCTCCCCCTCTGCTCATTGTTTACAGTAAATAGCTGACATGTATTAAGCGGTGAACGTGTACCCGGTGAAGCTTCACGCGTGACATCTCCTGACACTCAGGACAGCCCTATTTCCTTACTGTACAGATGGACAAACAGTGGCGCAAAGAAGCTGAGTGACGGCCCCAGGAGGGCAGGGAAGCCCCAGGGAAGCCCCTTCAGCCAAGGCGCTGTGTCAGTTCAAGGCTCCCCTAGAGTCCAGTCGGGCCAGGGCTGCATCAGAACCTCCTGGGAAGCTTTTGTGGAATCCGGACTCCAGGACACCACTCCCAGAAATTCTGACTGGAACCTGAGAATTCAGGAACCAACAGGGAACGCTGCATCTGAGAGGTACCTGAAGCAGCCCCTCCCACAAGACCCTCAGAAAAGTAGTCATTCTAAGCACAGACGCAGAAGTACCCATTACAAATTCTTCTAAGTACATGAGGCTCTTCAGTGAGGAAAGCGCCTGGAAGCTGCTCCGGAGCCCACGCTCCCGGGTTCACAGCCACTTCGGGGTGGGCGACCTTAGGCACGTTCCTAGCCTCTGGCAACAGTGGGACAGGAACGGCGCCTCTATCACGATAAAGAGTAATGAAGTCACATAAAATACGTAGAACTCAGCTCCCCAGAGTCTGCCTGCTACATACCCAGTGCATAGAATGTACTTAGCTAATCATATTCACTGCAGATGTTTCAGACTAGAGTCTTCCTTCAGGAGAGCCGACTCCTAAATACGTGTCTGAACACACACACACAGGCTGACGTGCATCCATTTGTAAGTTAGGCCATTTCTTCTGGTCATTCATTCCTTCCTTCCCTCATTCAGAGAAAGGTCTGCCCTGCCCCTTGTCGCCTCCCAACACGTCCTTTCTTTGGTATGAGTAAATGACTCTACCAAGACAACCAAGGAAATCCAACCTTCAGACAACCCGAAAGGTGCACACATGCTTTCTATTTTACACACCTCTGGCCTGTCTCCTCGCATAACTAACAACAGCACAGCACACACAGCAAAATGGGTCTCACGCAGAAAAATTCACTGAAGACACCGTCAGGGTTTGGGAGTTTGGGGTTCTCTTAGCGCCTTCGTGCTGGTCAGGACGAGCCATTATCCCCACTTCCACATTCACTGATTTTACAGAACCAAGTGGAGAAGTGGAAACAGAAAGCAATGATTTCTTAGAAAATATTCTTCCTTTCCCACCAGTAAAATGTCCTATGTTTGTGGAGATTGCCTCCAAGTCCCCAGAGTAGGGCTAGGGGTGAAAAGGGCTCTTATGTGACCAGTGAGGCATCAGAAAGCGCGTCTGGGCAAAGTCACTCCCTAAGTGTCTGAGCCACAGGTTGGACGACAGTGCAGAGGAGGTGGGAGCCGCCCCTGCTCTTCAGGTGTTTACTGGCGAGTCAATGAAGAAATAACATTGGTCAGGACGGAATCTGCGCTGAGCCGACCGGTCTTTGCTTTACTGTCTTCAATAAAGGAAAATGCCAGCAAAGAGTCACTCCTGGGGAGGAGGAAGCCGGGCTAGAGTCTCTTAAGTGCTGGTTGCTGAAACATAGCATGATCAATCCAATCATGATCCTAAGGTTTGCCCTGACTCGCCTCAACTCAGCAGCACATGCCACACGGGCCACTGCACGAACATCTACAACCTCCCCGCAAGCTTGCCTGTCTCCTGCCCCACTTTACCTCACCTGCATGGAACTGGCCAAAGTGACTGCTAAACAGAGATCCGAGTGGGTCTCTCTCTCCCGAGAATCATCCCAGCCACCCCCACCATCCATCCTACAAAATAAGCCTCACGCTTGCCAGCCCGGCTTTCAGGGCCCTTCACCTCCCTCCCCCAACCCAGCTGGGTTGAGGAAGGAGCTGAGGTCTGTAGATTGGGGGGACCAAGCAGCCCCCAAGGTGGCAGCTTTCCCTGCAGAGGAAGTCCTCTCCAACCCCGTGCGCCTCAGCCCCAACAGCAGGAGAGAGTACTGGATGCATCTTTAGAAAAGAGGGGTAGCATCTGAGATGCTCCCACGGAAGCATCGGTAGCAACCATCAGCCTGGACTATGAGAGCCAAGCGCCCACGGAGGGAGGTGCGCAAGTCCACAGCCGCCTTCACCAGAGAGGAAGCACCTGGATGGCTCCTGGGACACAGGGAACAGGGCTGTCATTGGCCTGGGCATCTGTCTTCTGTTCAGCCTGCGCTGTCTGCTTATACTTTGAAGGAACAAAGCCCTCACCATCCCTCCTGTTCTCTCCCAGAACCTCACGTTTGCTCAGCTCACTCCCCCAGACTGAGAAAGACCAAGGAGCTCCCTCTGCAGTGTGCGTGTCAGAAGGTGGAGGAGACAGGTCGTTCAACAACTTCATCTGAAAACCCATTTTTATGAGTTTTTGCCCTGCTCCTGCTACTCCCGACAACAACTAGGGCCCTTGGAAGATCCTGGACTCTCTACAGTGGTCTTGGTCTTGAGAACACAATGCAATCCTCATCCAGAAACTTCAGTCTTCACCCAACCAGGCAATGAAACCTACTTGCCACCTTTGACTAAATATGAAATCCACACCTTCTCATACCTGAGTGCCTGAGTGAACTTGTTAGATGTGTTATATCTGTTCTTAATGGAAATTAACATCTATCTATCTATCTATCTATCTATCTATCTATCCATCTATCATTTACAGAGGCACTAAGAGTGGTAATGTCCAAGCCATGGCACTCTAATCTTGAATTCCTGCTTCTCACAAAAATAACCAGCTTTTCTGCCAACTGTACAACTTATCACCATCCATTCTCAGCTAAATCAAGGTCACTCCAAAAAAATTTGAAACAATTCTTTATATAGCTTTGTTCAACTTCCTTTTTACCTTTTCCCCTCTTCTCTCATATATCCTAGCAACACCTTCAAAACCAACTGTTCACTTCAGTTCCAAAGTTTCCAAGCTGTTAGACAAGCTTCGTTTCCTACTAGGGAAAGTTTAATTGCCCAGCCCTCACTCCTAATCACTGGAGACTTCCTAGTAATTTGGGGGCCTCATAAATGTATCCATTGCTCATGAGGAAGAAAGCAGTTGCTCAGCTAACTCAGGCCAAAGACCGCGAATGTCTTACACCCTGCCTTACGCTGCAATATTCACTCCACACTTGGTGCTCAGCAAACAGTTTACAACAGGGTGGCTCAGCTGCCTCTGTGTTTTCCCAGACTGCTTTCCAGATGTGTACTAAGTCCCAATAATTAGCACTTACATCAGTCTTGGCGATTTAAATGCCAATAAAGGAAAAAGAACTTTCAGAAGTATGTTTTTAAAAAGTAGGTCTTGTCTGCCATCGAAAGGGGCCCTTCCCGCCCACGCTCTACCTGACAACCTCCGCATCATTTCTGCCCCAGCGAGTTCTCACTTGAGATAGTACAGGCCTACCCAGTAAAAATATTTACTTCTATGAAGAATGTTTGCAACATTAGTCTGTAGGGAATTTAAATAATGCAGTTGTATTTCCTAGCACCACACCTAGTATACGTCTTTCTTTTTGGATTGTGAAGCTCATGTCTGACCCAACACCCTACAATGCTAATGTCTGGAGGCGCTGATGTTACAAAATAAACTTCTAACTATAGTAACTTGAAACCATCTGTAATGTATTATAATAAATACAATTATGAAAATATTGAAACAAACTCCTTTTTAACCTTTTCTTTTTCTTTCAAATTTTCTGCTCTAGAGTTTACTACTTGCCTAATTTGTTTCACTTCTTCTTTGGTTCTCATGCATTAGAGGCTGAAGCAATGTTAAGATCAAGTTTAGGAACATGGGAAAACTTCATTTCCTCAAAATAACTTTTTGAGGAAAACTTTGTTTCCTCAAAATAACTTTTTGAAAGTAAATTGTGAAATTTTGTGTCACGTTATTATTTTACAAGAACTTTTCCATCCCTGTATTTAAGAGAAAGAGAAAGATGCAAATTCAAGTTCTCTTCCTTTTTCTTATCACAGAACCAGGTCACAGCATCCTTCCATGCGGCCATCCAGTTCACTGGTACAGACTTGATTTAAATCTACGGTCCCACTACCAGTGTCAGCTCAATGGAAGACAAACCTGCGCAACCTTCCCACGAGGCCATAGTGCATGTTTATACCAAACACCCATCTTTTACTCACCAGCATAAAAATAGAGATGAGGGGTATTGTACCAAACAATTCAGACTGGTAGTGAGGGGGGAAGGCCTTGTTGTTACAACTAAGGAGGAAAGAAACACTCTCAACAACTGATTTAACAGTATTTCTGATATTTGTATTCCAGTGTAGTTCTGTCTCTGTTAAAGGTGAAAACGAAAAGCTCTGAAAACAGAAACGTTTGTGCCATTACTTTTGCTACTTTTGTTCCTTCTTTTCCCAGATGTCATCTTTGGTTTAGAGTATCTTCACAGACTTAAGGGGGGAAAAAGACAAAAATAATCTCTGAAGACACCAGGAGACACAACATAATCTGTACAGCTGTATGCAAATTATATGCAAACAAATGCAAATAAACTTGAGGGCCGGCTATTTTAAGTATATATACAAACAGCCTCTAGGGAAAATTCAATGTGTTGCTCTGAGTGCCCAAAGTTGAGAGGAAGAAGGGGAACAGACTCTTGGCTTACTTATTTAGTACGTCTCTACCTTTTCTGTCCATAATAAGAAGTACATATAGGCTATATGTGATGTAATATAAATTTTATGTGATCTTTACATTGCTTAGTGTTGTTCTGGACAGGGATAAAGACATATAAGTATTCAAGTCCTCTACAAGCTAAATCCATTAAAAGAAATCACTATATACAAGACAATGAAACCTAACTGACTTCTTGACTGACTTCACAGTATGTTTTCATTCTTTCTTAGCTTCTTTAAAGATTTTGAGGCGA